AACAAGACATATCTATATATGTTTTATTCTGGTAAAAGTCTTTGAGGAGCAAGCTCTTAACCCATTTCCTATCAGCAGTGCAGGCAAAAATGCTGCTTAACAAACAGCTGTTCCACACTGTAATGAACTCCAGACTTTGACACACATACCATTTCAGTCCTGTATAGGAAAATAATTGTACCTCTTAGCTATGTTTTACATTAACAAGTTGAGAATATTTTCTTTTTAGAGGATGTGGCTATCTCGAAAAAATTTTGGAAGCTTGGTTTTCCGTGATGTAAGGGGAAAACCAGCGTTCCCCAGGGTACTGTTAAAAAGAGGTGCAGCAAGTAACGTTTATTTCCAATAATTTTAACAGCTGTAATACGAAAGCCAATGTAGTAATTTTAATAGGGCTCCAACTGTGACTAACAGGGACTTTAAAACACAATAAACAAGTTACGGCCTAGGAAGCCTTCCTACTCCCTGACATTTCTTAGCCGAAGACGTCCCCGCCACCAAAGCATAGGCCCCTTCCCCAAAGCACAGATGACCGGTCTGCGCTGCTCTTCTGGCCTCGCAGCAGCAACGCTCTGTCCCCAGCGCGTGCACGCGTGTGATGCCAGCGCCTAAGCTCATTGGGTAACACGCGTGACCCTGTATGTATTCTCACCGTCACGCCTGTGTCCCTTCGTTCGCAGGATTGTTGCTGAAGAGGTGCACGCTGCTCCTGCCCACCAAGGATCGGCTGAAGTACATTCACAAGATTCTGGCGGAAGTAAGTTCACATTCCTTTCACCCGTGTTTCCAGTCGTCCCTTGCACTTACAAGACCATTCCTATAAGGCCACTGGTCGTTGATGCCTTTTACGGTCCCTTTGCGGGAGTCGATTCCTACAGTGACATGGATTTATTGGTTTGAAATAAATCTCTCTAAGAATAACAGAAAAGCCCAAGCCATCATATGGAACACAAGGCTCCTCTACTGAGATTTCGCATTCCAAGATCGGTGGGTTTCCACGTTTCTTTGGCTTGTGGACCACTAGGAATTTTGCAGTGGAAGAGCACAGCTCTTCACGGATACTTTACCCTCCTGAAAACAGGGTGCTCCTCCTCACTTCTGCACACCCATCTCACCACGGTTTTGAACCCAGCGCTAAGCCGAAACGTGGCTACTATAGCTGGTTGCCTTGTACAGTAAGGGAAGGGAATTCTGAATCTCTCTGATTACTGTTGATGTACACAAGTAGTACTGAGGATTTTCAAACGCGGGAATTAGACCACAGTCAGTTAAGATACATTACTAGTGTTTTGCACTTGCAGGTTTCCTGTTTTAAACTTAATGGTTGCCCAAGCCCTTTGCATTGTTTAGGATTACAGTGCTACGGGATACTTTTACAGGTACAGTATCTTTACAGAATGAAGGCAAGTATCACAAAGAGAAAATAAAATTAAGGTCATTTTCTAAATTAATCTGTGTTTTTGCAAGCTCTTTAGGAGTACAAAAGCCTTGGGGGGTGGCGGGGAAGGTATTTATTCACACAGCACTCTGAATTTCTTTTCTGGCTGTTAAAGTTGCTGATTTGACTCTTGAGAATTCCTTGGTCTGGGTTTCTCTACCAACCTGTCTGGATTTTGAGTAACAATTTATTATCTAAGAAGACATGGGAGAAGGGGAACATTTTATCACACAGCTTCGCGTTCCTGAATCAAGAGCAGAGATGGTTTAGTTTAAAAGTAAATGGCTATACACATTATATGCCAGAATATAAAATATGCCAGAATTTTGTTAGCTTGTCGTAGCTTAAAAATACTTTAATACTAAAAACTCAGTGTTGATGAATTAGCTCTGCAACCCACAGCTTATTTAATGACCACTGTGACCGCAGACATGACGTAAGACACTAGGCATCGCATCTTTTCAACGCTACTTGGGACATCTGAGCGCGATGCGTTAGCCTTGCCGTGAAGGTGGCATTACTGGAGGGGAGCTTTGTTTAATAAAAATACAGAAACAAATTCTCTCTTAGAAGAAAAGACATTTTGAGCACATTTTAAATGCGTTTCAGTCTGAGAAACTTGTGCATACAAGTGCCCTAAACACATGCAGCCCTAAAGCCTTCGATAATACAAAAGAAAAAGTGATTATCTTTCCGTGGTTAAGAGCTACAGGTAATTATTTGTGCTGGGACATATGTCTTGGCAGCAAATATCTCTCTGTGCTTTTCCATGTAAAAATAAGATCTGGGCCCTGAACACAGAACATCGTTAGCAGCTTTTGATTTTGGGCTGCCTTAAGCTTAAGAACAACCTCTGCCATAACGTAAAGCATGTCAGTAATGGTTGCCCTGCGCTGCTCAGGGAGACGCTGTGCAGGCACCACACTCCAGGTATAGCCCCTTCCCTCTCTGGTCTCCTGCTAAGTTGCAGGTCAGATTGCATTTATCTGATACGAGAAATGGCACTGTGATCCAAATCTACAGCTCAATCTATTCATGTTTACCCCCTTTCTTTTGCAATTTTCAGATCCTAACAGCAGGCTGGGATGAACTAGAGTGTCACCGGGTATTTAACTTCCTCTGCGAGCTGAGCAATTTACCCCGCAAAGTACAGACCGTTGTCAGCAGCAAACCGGGTAATTATCATCATGGGCAAAGGCCCTACAAAAACAAAACACGCGGCCGTGGAGGAGACAGAAAACGGGTCTTGCTTGCTGCCAACAAATGTGTCTAGAACTGAGAATGTTTTAGCTCAGCCAAGCCTTGTAGCACCAACCCTTTCCCGACTCATGCACACCTGTTAGCCCCAGCATTATGCAGAGAGCGGGTGCTCCAAAGCAAATCTTGGCCTTCATGTAGATAACAGCAGGTTTTCCCCTCCAAAAGCAAAGCAAAGCGCTTTTGTCTTGTTCCTGTAGTGAAAAGGGTTCTCTTGAGAGGCGTTTAGGGGTTTTTTGAATCATTCCATTGCCAAACCAACGCGTAAGTTATGGATATAGGTAAACACTAACAGGGATTTGAACCTTCCCTACCGTACAGCAATGCCAGGGCAATCAGTGGGAAAGGAACCAACACGGAAATGAAGAGAGGCAGGAAAAAGTCAGGTTTGATATTTCCGAGACACAACACTGACGTGGCACATGCCGCTCAAAAATTCTCCTGTTACCCAGCACAGAGCTGGTGTTTCTGTGGGACACTTCCACACAGCACACACACACCTCCTCCTATTTCCACTTACTGATGCCATCAGAGAGAACAGAGCAGTGCAACCGAAAACCAGAGCTGAGAGCCCCTGGAGACGTGCATGAGCTGCTGCAGAAAGGGACCAGAGGGTGCACTGGTAGATTCGACAGCCTGAATTAGCACACTGTCTCCAAAAGAGCCAAACTCAGGCCACTACAGCTGAGAATTTAATTAAAATCCCCCTAAACATTCTTGGGCAGCTTTAAGCAAACCCTTCTTTCTCTTCCTATTAAAAAAGTGATGGTCTGCATTGCGTGAGGCCCAACGGATTTATAATATCCACATTCTTTTACCCCAGGAAGCGCCCGAAAGCTCGAGCTGCGGATAAGGTTATACTGTCGTAGCGTCTTGTTGAACCACTGGATCCATCGGAGTGATTCCGCGTTCTGGTTGACTCGTATTTTAAAGCCGTGGCCCATGGTCAACCAAGCTCGCCTGCTGTATATCATCTTTGGGCCAGTGTCCTCCCTTGACGGCAAGTAGTGGTGGGGGGAAGGGTTCATTTGCAAAGTTGGTTCCCTGGGAATGAGATCTCCTTGTGGGATGCAACATTTCTGAAAACCAAGCTTTGTTGCCTAGAAAAAAATTGTTCTGCTTAACCAGATCTCAGTAACATACCTAAAATACATGAATCATAGGATCACAGAACCACAGAATGGTTTGGGTTGGGAAGGACCTTAAAGACCATCCAGTCCCACCCCCTGCTATGGGCAGGGACACCACTAGCCCAGGTTGGTCCAAGCCTCATCCAGCCTGGCCTTGGACACTTCCAGGGATGGGGCATCCACAGCTTCTCTGGGCAACCTGTCCCAGTGCCTCCCCACCCTCTCCAGGGAGAATTCCTTCCTGATATCTGATCTCAATCTCCCCACTTTCAATTTAAACCTGTTACCCTTTGTCCTGTCACTACAGGCCCTTGTAGAAAGTCCCCCCCCGCTGCCTCATCCATACAGGAATGAGACATATGTGTGGATATACGTACATCCGTATATATAAAGTTACAACTCAAGTGAAGAAATTGCAGCTCTGCTCCTCTCCCCTGCTGAGGGTAGAGTTAACCCAGCTATACCTCAAAGAAGCAGCTGTTGTCCTGAAGAAAAGCATGCTTTCTCACTTAATTATTAGACCTGGGTTTCTTGAAATCGCCCTTGGATTCACACTGCAACTACCACTGTCCCTACAGAGTGACAGATGGAAGAAATCTCACTGTCACAAGGCCCGAGTTACCTGAGTTTCCCTCTTCTGACTCTGCTCTAAGGCCCAGTTCAGCCCCTTCCTTGTTTAAAACAACCCTTACTCTGTCACTTAATAGCAGTCGTGGTTAATATATTGCTCAGGACATGTGGTTTGGCAGAAAATGATAGAAGAACCAACAGATGAGACCAGTCTGAAGGGTCTAGCAGATGCAATTAAGCTGCTGTATGACACAGAAGCGAGAGAATGGACAGCAGATGATGTCATCAGTCTTGTGGATGAGCTGTCAGGTGTGTTTTTTGCCTTTATCATTAATCCACAGGATTATACCCTCTTGTCCTCCAAATCTGGCAATGTGTGTTTGAGACACTGTAATACTCCCCACAGTAGCTGTGGCGTCACCGGAGAGGTCGTTGCACTTGGAAGCCAGTCACTGGGAAGGAGTGAAACCCAGTGCTGCTTACAAAGGCAGGCTTTCCCCACCAGGAAATACATTAAGAATCCATGCAGACCTTTAAAATGCAAGCCTTGTCAAGCCATTATTAAGGAAACATTGTCCACGTGGCGTAAACTGAAAACATAATGCTTTTTCAGGCCAAAATTCTGCTGAACGATGTCAACGGTTACCCTGAAAGCTAGTTTGGGGTGAGATTGTATCAGCTACTGTGAAGAGCTCCAACTGTATTGCTGGTAGAAATTGCCCATATGACTTCATGGCTGCAACTGTATTCTTGAGGGTATCCCCTCACAAATTCGGGAATTCCTAAGCTCATGCCTTCCAGAAGAGTTTGTGTGGCACTCCTTTCTTTTTGCTCAAAGACCACTAACATTTTCTCTCTCTTTCATTCCAAAGTCATTCCCCGGGAGTGGCTCATGGAGAACAACGCTCGGCTTCTTATTCTGAGCGGAAACAACGTTTGCTTCACGTTCATGGCCAGTAAAGCTGTGAATGGAAGAGCCGTCGAGTTAGCCAGACTCATGGTCTTCCTGGCCTTGGTGAGTACTCCTGAACAGAGCAGGTTCGTGCCTTTTCTCTACCTAGGATTTGCTTTCTCAGGCTTGAAAGCTGTTTCCCCACCTACTCCTACAAACCAGGAGGAAGCCCAGCAAGAGGCTTGGTACTCTCCCACCCTCTGGTCCCCATCCAGCGAGGTAGCAAGACGGTCCTTGCAGAGAAGCACCCCTAACAAAGGTTGAGAAGTTCTGCTGTTGGCATGCCAACAAAAACAGCCTCTATGGCCTCATAAAAACCCCTAATTTTCCAGGCCATGGCTGCAACCGATCCACTCATCCCCTAGAATTCTAGTTAATTCTAAGATTTAATCTTGCCTTTTCATCGTACTCATAGAATCATGGAATGGTTTGGGTGGGAAGGGTCCTTAAAGCCCACCCTGTCCCACCCTGTGCCCTGGGCAGGGACACCTTCCACTAGACCAGGTTGCTCCAAGCCTCATCCAGCCTGGCCTTGGACACTTCCAGGGATGGGGCATCCACAGCTTCTCTGGGCAACCTGTCCCAGTGCCTCCCCAAAAGGTGTGTTTCTAAAATTTCCTGCCTACGCCAGGTCTGTGAGAAGGACCTGTACTGCATGGACTGGGCAGTAAAGATGATGCAGAAGGTCTGCAAAGTTTTCAGCACTCCAGGGGAGAGAAACAACTTCCTGCAGAGCGTGGAGAACATCTTCGCACACGTGATCATGGATATGCTCCAGGCAGTGCTCTCCGGTAAGGCTGCGGGGCAGGGCGAGCTCTTTAATTGTGAGTTAGCACAGTGCAAGACATGGAGCAACATGTCCTGTCCTACTCCCCTCCCTCCCCAGGCGGAACATTGGCACGCCTGGAGTTTTTTTATAACATAAAATAATCAATCAAGTGTCATAACTGGGAGAGATGTTTAGTTTAACCGATCTCGCTTGTTCAAGAGATTCCTAGTGCCAGGGATGGTGAAACCAACAGCCTTTGAAACCACGCCCTGCCAGAGCACGAGGCCTTGAGGTCCTTTTTGGGCTGCTCCAAAGGCTCTGAGCAGCCCTCGGCCACCCCCGTCCAACTCCACGAGCTGCACTTGCTCCCTGCCCGCAGCTTGTCAGCCCTGATTCAGATGGCAGGCTGCGAAGAGCAATGGCCCGCTCCGTTAGGATGGGGTTTTTGTCTTAATGCACAATTGTTCTTGTCCATCCTCGGACACGCTGGGGAAGGAACTTCGGAGGGAGTCTCCAGTGTTATTTCACAGCTGTCCTGCCTTCAGGGGCAGGAGCTGGTGCCTCATAAATCTGAGCAGAAGCTGCTGCTTCAGCTTCTGCTGAAGACACTGAGTAAGATTTATCTCCAAAGACATAATTTCGTGTCACTAGTCATTTTTAAATGGCTTTCTTTGCCCTCACAGGGGAACACGATGAAGAGGACAGCGGCTTTTTGAATTTGTTTCACCTTATAAACGCACAAGCCAACTTCCATAAGGAAATCCTGTACCTGACCATGAGGAGCAACAGCAACGCCGTTTGACCCTCTGCATTTTACAGACTCTTGCTCTACTCCTGCCGGATTCCTTTTTTTCCTTTAAACATTTTCAAAGCAGTGCCCAATTCTTAATTTGCCATCCCAGTAAGAGCTGGAGTGGCTGTGGGAGAAGCTGGTGACACGCCTCACAGCAGCTGACCGAGCTCACGGAAGACCGTCGCAGTGGGTTTCTGGTCGCCTTGCTCCTCCGAGGCTGCGGTGAAGACGTCGAGGGGTCCTCTACGTTGGAGACAGAAACTGCACCCTCTTCCCACCGCGCAGGAAAAGCGACGTGGGTTTCATGCGTGACGCGCACACGCAAATTGAAGAGTCTTGTCTTAGTTCAGAATCAAAACTGGTTTGATCTTTTAATTCTGTTTTCTCCTGGGAATCGGTGGAAAGGCAGTCAGAATCCGAGCGGCACAGCTACGTTTTGGCCAGGGTCTCTCCGCGACAGACGCGCTCTGTAGCTCGTACGTTGGGTTTTAGCAGAAATAGGTGATTCCTGAGAGCAATTTAAGTGCTTTGATCAAGCAAAGCAAGTTTTTCCCCCCCCCCCCTTCAAAAAAACCCAACAGGTGCCTTTAACCTTAAGGCAGAAGAAACTTCAAATCCCTGCCCCTGCCTGGTGTAAAAACTGAGCTGTTGAAGCGTGTTTGCCTTTAGCTGAGTTGAAGACACGCTAAACACATGTCTTACCGTTGTTTCCTTGGAGTATAGAAACATTTGCTGCTTAGAAAAGGTTTTGATTTTCCACTATATCGCCTTCAAACCAAAAATATGTGACACAATAAAAAGTACTTACTTTACGATGGGCTGTTTGTGACGTGGCTGTTTTCTTGCTGTTCAATAGCTGCCTCCTCCACCTGAATCGCTTTCCAAAGGTTTTTAGTGTTCCTCCAGGCCCAGGTTGGAGCTGCAGGAACCCACCTTTAGCTCTGAAAGCTGGTCTCCAACTGCAGGAAAACAGCTAAATGCTCCCAGTTTCCCTCAGCTGCTCCCACTTCAGCAGCAACGAGCTGACAACAGCTCTGTAAGGATTCACTTGGAAGTCTGCATGTTAAAAATCCTCGCGACACGTGTTGAATATCCAAGGAGAGGCAGGATTTGACTACGTTAAGGAGTGGATACGGGATATAAATTTGCTGAGGATCTTTGCCGCGTGCCGGTAGATGGCAGAGGTGAAACCTTCCCGTGGGGCTGGGTGGGGGAGTGTCTGCTGGCGATTGCTGCTAACATCCCTTGTTTCTCCCCGTTGGAAGGTTGTATTTAAGAGCACCTACAACGCTCCAAGACAGGAGGGGATGTCCCCAAACCCACCGCTGATGAGCTCCATCAGGAGGAGAAAACACGCTTGCAGCGTGCGCAGTGTCAGGGAAATGCAGCCGAGAAGCCGCCGAGGCAGGATGCTACAGCCCATGTCATTAGCCATTCCCTCCCTCCACACGCCACTGATAAATAATCCCAATAAATGGAATTCGGAATCTTGAACCACCGCATCATCTCGCCCTATTGTGTTTCTGGTGCGTAACGCTGCTGTGGCACAAAGGCCCGGCGGGCTGGCGCAGGTTCCCTGCCAGCGCCTCACCTCCCGAGGGCACGGTGGCAAGAGATGACAGCCCGTCACAAGGGATGTCATTGTGTGAGCCCAGCGGTACCGGAAAAGTGAGTTCTTTGATTCCCTGGCGGCAGTCGCCCAGGATGAATCGGCGGCTCTGCCGGCGCTGGCTTGCTCGCGCAGCAGATCTTCCAGGAACGCAAGTTTTAGGCGGCTGCCGAGTGTGAAATATGGATGGCTTTATTAATTCTTATTAATTGCTCACACACAACAGCTCAGCAAGTGTTTGGCGTCAGTTTTTGCACATTCATGCCCGTGTCGGCATTTCCCCGGGGTGAGGACTTTCCTCCCCAAAGCACCACAGCTCAAAACCCACCGAGGTGGTTACTTCCCAAACCACTTCTCTTTGGACTGGGAAAAGACAGTGGCCTTCCAGCCGCCTTTTCCAAGGTCACCCTCCAATCTGCTCTGGCAGTAAAACACCGCTGGGCTGATGCCATCCCAGTGAGGAGCCCCCGGCCCTCGCCGTGCGCCAGAGGAGCTGGAGCAGCGGTACGTGCGGAAATGGTGCTTTCTCTTCTCCTGCCAAATTTTTACTGCTGCCACGGAGCAGGACGAGAAGCCCCATCCCACCCAGGAGGAGAAGCAAACTCCCCCCTTGTGCCAAGGCAGCCCTTTTCAGAGCGGGGCTGCGCCCTGCCTGCAGTCTGGGCTGCGCAGCACCGTACCCCGTCTGCCAAAGAGCTCTCCCTGTCCGTCTGTCCGCCAACACCCCTCCTGCCCCGCGCTCCCAATCCCTCTGCAGCTGCTGGGCTGGGCCGTTTCACCTTCCAGCGCCGAGCTGGCTGACTTGGGGCACAGAGGAAGGGCTTGCTATGCATAGCTGGCGGGTTCGTAAGGCCTCCGAGGGGAGAGGAGCGCTCGGAGCAAGAGAAAATCGTGGTTCCTGGTTTCACACTCAGCTGAGTTTCCATTCCACGCATTCCTCATTACTGACTCCCTCTCAATCACTGCAGATGTCGACATCAGACACAGCCTCACGAAGCGGAGGTTATTGACACCATGACTTATGCTTGAAGAAATTCCTCCCAGAATATTTCAACTTTCTGCTTTTCGCCTATATTTGGTGGTGGAGCGAGGAGAAGCTTTTCCACCTCCCCACGGTTCCGCTCGCGAGGGACCGCCCTGGGTAGCTCGGGCTGAGGCTGGCGCACCAAGAACACGCCGCAGGAGCAAAGTCACCAATTCCGTGTTTCTCCCGGGAGTTTCACCAACAGGAAATGGCAGTGTCGAGAGTTCAGCTGGCAACCCTGACCTCATCCAGCATTCCCAGACTGAAATCCCTCTTCTTTCGGTAAACACCACCTTCCCAAAGCCTTACCAACCAGTTCCAGTGGTGCCCGCAGAGCCCCTGCTCTTCGCTGGAGCCTGCGCTCTCCCACCCGCTCGCCCGATGCTGCCACGCTTAAAAATGGGCATGAGCGCGTTTCCCCGTTACAGCTATTTCAGGTGCTCATTCCTCAAAATCCCCAAATATCCCTGGGAGAGACCAAGCATGTGAGAAGTTTGTCGTTAGGAGGATGGAACTCCCCATCTGAAAGCAGCTCTGCGTGACGGGCAGCGTCAGGGCAGGGATCGATGCAGGGCTTCAGAAAAAGACAGGAAAAATTCCCCTGATACCCCAAATACCTTCCCAGACTTCTCCAAGCTGGGGGAAATTAAGCCTTGAAATGTTCTTTCCATCCCACAGAAGTTTCCACCCTACTAAAAAAATTCCTTTTTTCTATGCTGAGATGAACCGAGACCCCCCCGGAGCTTCCCTGAGCATGGGAGAGGGGACCTGAGCGAGGGG